GGGGAGGCAGATTCCTCTCATTCCAGTTCCCAGAGTAGATCCTTTTGTCCTTTCCAAATGTCCCGACTTCTCCCTTTGAATATCTGGACACAACTTGCCTGTAATATTCTAAAATGTCATAACTGCACTTTCTGTGTTAGATTGCAAACATTATAATGAGTTCTTAGTTTAATCTATCAAGTTGAAAACTTTTACTCTTGTTCTGAAAGATTTCTTGAATTATTCTTTTGATAGTCATCTTCCCTTGTTCTTTTTCTGGAACTTATGTTTCACAAATATAAGATCTTTTAGACTTATTCTCTAGTTTTCTTATTATATATTTCCTTTTTGTTACTTCTTAGAGATTTTGCATTAAAATATTCCTCAGAGAATTTTAATATTTAATCATATACTTGGACATATGAGACAAGAGCTCTCTTGTCTGCTATGGATTCCTTTTCCTTCAGCATTATCTTTACCATTTGATGGTTTTGCTTCTTTTGATACATATTTTTCTTCTATCTGAATCATTTTGTGATAGCTAAAGAAAATCCATTTTGTGCTAGAGATCTATCTTGGTAGCTGATAGCTGTTTGTCTCTGACTCAAATTCCTGGAAGATAAGTTCCTGACAATCCTGACTCCTTGATCCCTACCCAAAAATGTGCAGTCATGACCATCTGCTTCTTATGATATGACTAACTGCTGGTTTTGGCTTCTGTTATTTTGCTTATGCAGATGCTCAAGGACTAGTTTGAGGTTACTGTCACCATCTAGTCTTGGCAAAGCAAGACTCTTGTGGTTTTTGCATTTAAAAGTCCTTTCTTTAAATCTGGTGGTGGTGATGCACACATTTAATCCCAGCAGAGGCAGGCAGATTCTAAAGTTCCTGGCCGGCCTGGTCTACAGAGTGAGTTCCAGAACATCCAGAACTATTACACAGAGAAACCCTATCCTGGAAAAGGAAAAAAAAATACAAGAAAAAAAAGGAAAGAGTTGTTGTTCTCCCAGCATCTGTACTGCTTGTTGTTGATTTGGATTAAAGACTGTGTGACCCTGCTAGCAGTTTTAATAAATCTGGCTAATTATTATCTGAATTGAGTCTAAAGGTCTTTCCCTGGTGGTCTCAAATTCCATAACAGTGTCTGTTTCTTCTAGTTTTGGTTTGTGTTTGCTTTACTCTTTCTGTTGCTCCTCCCCTTCCTCTCCATTCCAGGGAAGGACTCACAAGGCAGGATGGCATTTTTGTGTGCCCTGCACATGAGCCACATCATGTCTTCCAAACTGGAGTCTGTAATCCTATTCATGGGTCTGTCTAGGACTCTCTATTAGATTAATCAGATCTTCCACCCCAGTGTTCCCTAACTGGAAACTTTGAGCCCTGCTGTCAGTGATCTGGAAACATGAGATACAAAGGGGGTTTTGGGTGCACTGGTCAGGATGAAGGCCTTCATTTGGTGTCTCATCTTCAACTTTGTGCCTCACCCCTATTGTGCTTTGTATACACTTGTTTACCTCTAAGGTTCTTAAGACTGGGAAGGGGCAGTTCCTAAAAATCCCTGTTGGGAATTTCCACAATCACCAGTCTTTCTTTCATGCCACTGTCAGTTCTATGTGGCTCTGTGGATTCTTTAGCATCCCATGGTTCTTCATGTTCATCACTGTGAACACATCTCCCTTTCACACAGCCTGTGTGAGCTGCTTCCCTGGAGCTTTTAAATCATTCTACATCCTTCTTTTCACATTTCCTGTTTCTAGTTTCTGGTTGGCTTTGTGGTGGGGTTTCTTCCCCTTGACTGTTTGTGTGTTAATGACTATTTTATCGAGGCATTTTTAAAATGTCAATTTTGAAAGATTAGGCAAAGAACAACAACAACAAAAATCCACATATATCTAGTCTGCAAAATCTAATTTCCCTATGAATTTCCACACAGCATAAGCCCCATGCTTTGGTGACACAGGCAATCAGAGCCACTTTTCTCTGATCATAAGCCATGGGAGGATTTGTAATCACTTGTCAGTGAAATGAAAGCCTTTCCTTTCTTCTGTAATAGACAACTTTCAAAAAAAAAAAAAAAAGACTTCCAAGCCCAGGGACTCATTTTTATCCCTGCCTACCAAAGAAACTTGGAAAACAGATCAAACTCAGAGATCCCATTAGACAAAGGAAATCCACATGTAATTGAACTGTGCTCAGGAAATGTAGATTGTGAAGAGGAGGGTTTATGTAATAGAACAGGAGTCCCCTCGAGGGAGGCTTCCACATCACATAATAATTATTCTTGCCTCTGGCTATTAGGTTCTTTCAAAAGACAGGGAATTAAAGTGGCTCCCACTTAGCCCGTGTGCCAGAGCACACACATTTTATGCCATCTGAGGATCTCACCTCAGTGATGTTCCAGCTGTGCTTATCTTCCTCTCTGAAACTGCCGTTTTCACATGAATGGGCACAGACATTAGGCCCAGCCCAGCATGTCTGACTCATTATTGCAGGATGAACGATGCTGTGTGATTCTGCCTGGGGCTGCTAGAAGGAGGAGATGTTTTCTCTGGATTTCCTCCTCCCAACAAGTCTGTGTCCCTTGCTTTCACAACCACTAAATTCTAAAGGAATGTTGATGCCAAAGGGGAAGAAAATTATTATGACTCTGGAAATTTTAATGAAACCTCCAGCTTATAACTCTTGACTTTGTAGGGCACTATGGAATCCTCCTTTGTGATATTAAAAATGGAGGAGTTCTATAAATCCTGTTCTGACTTCTCCCCCTCACTTATTCTCTCTCTCAAATATGTACTATATACAGTTGCAAGACAAATTGGCCTCCTCACTGTCCCTAATGCCCTGCTCTTCCTCAGGGTTCACTTCCATTCATTCAGTCCCACTCATGCAGCGTGCAGAGGAGAGAAATGAAAGACCCTGCTATCTAGAAAGGCAAAGACCAATGGAGAGAATGAGTAATTCCAAAGTTGAGTTGACTGAGTGGGAATACAGGGTATAAATAGAACACTTGGTAGGGATGTGGAATGTGAGAGCCTATTCTGCATGAAGACTTTATCAGCAAAGAATTGTGGAGTGAGAAAACAAGCTTAGAAAAGCTAGCCAGATGACAGGTATCCAAAATGAGGTGGCCCAGAGCACAGTAGAGAATATTAATCTGCCTCTTAAAGTCCTCCCATGATCCAGTTCAACATCCTCAACCTTGGAAGCTTTTCCAATACTGTTTTGATAGATATCTTAGGAAAGGACAGCCTTTGTCTTACTATGATTCTGTCACTGGTGCTGGTACTGGTGTCTCTGCTCATGTTGGCCTTTGGGGGTGCAGGTAGGCAAGGAAACAATATTCTAGGTTAAGGCTTATGAATGCTTCCTTCTGAGGCAGCAGAAACTTTTTCAAATTACACCAATTTTGAAGATTAGGCCATGGCTTTAAATTCCACTCTGCTACATTTAGTATTCCACTCTTCAGAAACCCATCTACATGCAATTTCCCTTTCCATTTATCTTGTGGTTTAGTTTTAGTAACCGTGTTTTATGTATGTAATAGGTTTTATCTCCTTAAGGATTAATATCTTGTTAAATGTATATTAGTATCATCTATATTGTCTTTTAAACTCTACCTACTAAATTCTCAATTCACATATGTTCAGTATATGACAGACAACATAATAGAAGGTAAGATGTTTTCCCCAAAGAAAATAACTTAGAAAGGTCCTTGGCATTGCCTTAAAATCTATTAATTGATGTAATTACTTTTCTCTAGAATAAGCATAATAACCCCTCAACTGCCTTTTTTCATAAGTGTATCATCCAAACACTAGGTGGAGCCAGAGGAACCTCGTAGAAGAGGAGAAGGAAGGATTGTAGAAGCCAGAGGGATTGAGGACACTCTGAGAACATGGTCCAAAGAATCAACTAAGCAGGGTTCATAGGGGCTCACAGAGGCTGAAGGGACAAGTAGGAAGTCTACATGGGTCTGCACTAGGTCCTCTGTGTGTATGTTATGGTTGTGTAACTCGTAATGGTGGGAATAGGAGGGGGGGAACTCTGATTATTTTGCCTGCTCCTGGGACCATTTTTATTCTACTGGGTTGCCTTGCCCAGCCTTAATATGAGGGTTTGTGCCTAGTCTTATTGTGTCTTGTTATGCTGTGTACAGTGACATCACTGGGAGATCTGCTCTTTTTTTCTGAGGAGAAAGAAGAGGTGGATTTGGCAGAGAAACATCACCCTTTACAATTGCCACAAACAACATAAAATACCTTGGGGCAACACTGACCAAAAAGTGAAAGACCTGTACCATAAGAATTTTGAGTCTCTAAAGGAAGAAATTAAAGAAGATACCAGAAAATGGAAAGATCTCCCATGCTCTTGGATAGGCAGGATCAACACAGTAAAAATGGCAATCTTGCCAAAAGCAATCTACAGACTCAATGCAATCCCCATCAAAATCCCAATACAATTCTTCACTGACCTTCAAAGAACAATTCTCAACTTTATATGGAGAAACAAAAGACCCAGGATAGCCAACTGTACAATAAAGGATATTCCGGGGGCATCACCATTCCTGACTTCAAGCTCTATTATAGAGCTATAGTTCTGAAACCACCTTGGTATTGACACAAAAATAGACAGGTAGATCAATGGAATAGAGTTGAAAACCCTGAGATCATGGGAAGATGGGGGAGGGAGCTATGGGAATGAGAAGGGAAGAAGAGGAAGGCTGCAGAGGTCATGAGGGAGCAGAAAGGTTGAGTCAGGTGTAGATTAGAAGAAAGGATATGTGATAGGTAGGGCTTTAGTTGGGGGGTTGGTAGGGGAGGAAGGGAGGGAGATGGGAACTGGGATTGTCATGTAATTCAATCTTGTTTGTAATTCAAATAAAAAAAGAAGAGGTGGATTTGGGGGAGGAGGGAAGGAAACTGGAAAGAGTGAAGGGAGGAAAGGTTGCAGTCAGAATGTAATGTATGAGGGAATAATAATAAAATATAGCACAATCAGAGATATAGAAAAACATTAGTTGCCTTTCTTGACGGGTTTGCTCCTCAGTAGTTTCCATGGCACATTCCAGAGAGTTCTGGAGAGACTGCAATTGATTTAAAGTCTCCTTCAACAAAAATCGAGTGACAAATTGTTCCAAGTTGGAGGCTTCTTGGTAGTCCTATAGGTTACAAAAAAAGTAATTAGAACTTCAGTAGAGACAAACATCCGGGACAGATTTTTCCCCCAACTACCCATCATCTTGAGACCAATCTTTGGAAGGGAAAGTGGAGAGAGATAAGAGGTGTTGGCTCAGAAATCTCTGCTAGGTCTCTGTCTACCTGTCAGAGGCTGAATTTAAAAACAGACTTGATTATATTATGAATCATTACACCTTCCTAAAGTTTAGTAAAAAAGGACCAACCCTAGAAATTAAGTAATATATATATGTGGGAAAAGAAAAAAATTCTGGAGAAAAATGTTAGAGTGTAACTGACGTCCTTTGTTCTGTTTCATGTAAATGATAACCATGGCATCATATATTTTCTCTTTCACCAACAAAATATAGTCATGTTTCAACAAGTGCTTTAATTCATTCTTGATGCATTTATCATGATTTATCTGCATTCCAGAGAAGGCAGAAAAATTAGGTATAGTTATTTTAGGATCTGGAAAATGTTAGGAATGGAATATTTAACCAGTTTAGCCAGTTGTGAGGCTAAATCCTACACTGGTAGGATTTGCTAAAGGAGGCAGAAGCAGGATGATTATGAGTTACAAGCCAGCCTGGGCTATACATGTAAACAAACAAACAAACAAAAAGAGTTTACTTAATGTGTTCATGTTCTGCTCAGCCATTTTAAAGACTAACAACTTATATCACAAAAATTTGATTTCACCAGCCACAGGTTGACTTGGAGCTAACAGTGGCACTTACCCAGCTTCTCATGGCAAGTGAGTAAGCTCTGGAGTAGTGGCTTTCAACCTGCCTTATGCTGCCACCCTTTAATACAGTTCCTCATATTGTGGTGATCTCAATTATCAAATTATTTTCATTAATATTTCATAAATATAATTTTGCTACTGTTATAAATCGTAATATAAATATCTGTGTTTTCTGATGGTCTTAGGTAAACCCTATGAAAGGGGTGTTTAACCCCAAAGGGGTGTCTACCTACAGGTTGAGAATCACTGCTCTAACGCTATGAGCTGCCACCCTGTAATACCTTAGGGAGAACCAAGGAAGAAAGCTAGGTTAGTAAGAAGGAAATGGCAGAAGAATCTCCCTTTCAAGTTACAAGACGCCAACGAAATCTGACTTTTTCTGCATCCAGTAGTGCTATGGTTTGAACCTCAAATGTCCCTTATAGGCGCATTTTGAATGTCTGTTTCCCAGCTGGTGGGGTTATTTTCAGAGGCTGTGCAACCTTTTTGAGATGAGGGCTGAGTCAGTCAGAACCAGGGGAAGCAGGTCCCTAGTCATGGGCCCTGAAGGTGCTCACAGTGTCACAGACTTGCTTCTAGGCTGTGTCTTCTCCACTCTGTCATGAGCCCAAATAAACCTTTCCCGCTTAAATTGTGTTTGTGAGACAGTCTGGTCACAGTGATAGAGAAGTAACTTATTCAGGTGGGAAATTCACTTCAGTCAATGAAAAGATGTATTTGTCTCTGTCCCTAAAGAAAATGCTATTTTTCATGATGGAAAACACAAAACCAAAAGGAATGATGCTGCCATGAACCACGATGTTCTGGGAAACTAGAAGGTATGGTTGCAAATTCAAACAATTCAAATATAGTTATTTAACCTTTTGCCACATCACCTTTCTCACTTGCAAATTAGGCTAAGAAACTCCAGCATGCATTACAAACTGAACATATACTGTGCTTCCATCAATTCTAAGTTGTAAAATATTTTCTGGTGTCCTTCTGATATCAATTATCTTTTCCTCATCCACAGAAAGACATCATAGAAAATTTCATTTAGAAAAAATTTCAGTCATCGGCCTTTAAAAGAGCCCATTCCTTAGAGTTCAAAACCTAGGAAATTTTCTTATTCACAAACCTAGCAGCTCTACTTTGACAATTCAAAACTGTCCTTAAACTCTACTTAAAAAATAATCATAAAATACGATATCTGTGCTTATAGTAGACATAAGAGCTTTGGAGAAGTTAAATCGAGTTGAAATACACAAAACACCTCATTTGATTTTAGGGGTTACTAAGTTTTGGCAGTCAAAGCTTCGCAAAATTATTTCTCAATAATTATTTTACACCAAGGGAAGATTCCCATTGAGCACAAGTGCATTGACAGAACAAAGGCTGCACTTGATTCTTACCCTGCAGCTGTTCTCATTTTACCAACACATATTTTAAAAATAAAATTTATTAAAATGCACACAAGACACAATTGCATAG